GTATCGCTAATCCACGTATCGCCCTTGCTTCGCTCCTTTATTCGCTTCACAGCCCTTGGCCTCACAATATCGGAGAACTCGCTTGCACCACCTGAAGCAAATCTGTTGTCGCGCTATGTGAGCACGGACTACCAATGGACGGACAGCAGTGTGAGCGTGGACTCGTGGGCCATCCGCGACTTCCAGAATTGGGGCTCCATGGCCTTCCTTGGCTGGCCTGTCAAGGATCAGCTGGATTGCAGTGAGTGACAAGGGGATGGATTTTTGGTGCGTTTGCTTCTACAACTCCTCATGTCGGAGCTCCACTGTCTTTCACTTGAGAACCCTCCATGTCTGTTTTATTATTTTGTCGCAGCGAATTATCACTTAGCAAGTTCACCCTCAACCAACCTTTCTTCGCTAACTTTTCTTAGCATTTCGCTATTTTGTATTTTATACTGTCTATAATTCTGTCCGCACCACTCCACCCTCGGAGGCTTGCTGATCTTACTCTACTTTCCTCGTATCTACCTACTTATTCTCAGGTGCATGCTGGGCTTACGCCGTGGTGGCGAGTGTGGAGGCTGCGTACGGCATCGCATTGAATCAAGCCGCTCCCCAGCTGTCAGTGGAGCCACTCTTCACAGCCATGAGGCTCACCGACGCAGACAAGTGCACCGCTGGAGGCTCCCCTACTTCAGCCTTTGAGAAGCTCATCACTCTTGATGCCAGCAGTGGACTCACAGCAGGCAGTAACCCGGTAGGGCAAATGGTATGCGGGCAGGTAAGTGGGGTTGGGTGGAGTCATGGGAGGAAAGGCAACTTCAAGAAAAAATAACCAAATTGCAAGTATTTGGAGATTCAAGCAATGTTTGCCTTGGATAAAAGGTAAACACGTGGCTTTGACCGTTTTTTTTGACATCGTACCCTACACTCTTAGAAAACGTTTAAAACGAAGGAGTTGTTGTTTTGTTCGGTTTTTTTTTTTTTTTTTTTTTTTATTGTGGAAAAGACAATCGTTTTTATCTGTCGTTTTTTTTTCGAACCCATGTATTTTGCTCACCTTCGCATTGTAATAACATGCTTACGTCTCTGCTGGTTTATAAACTGAACGAAAGTATGAAAAAGGTTGGAATCCACGCAGAAGTTTCAGTATGGGCGCTCATGTTCCGACTTAGTGATGTTGAGGATAACTGTTATCTGATAGTGCCACTCATCTATAGAAATTGCGTTCGTAAATACGCAAATATTTTCAATATCATGGCTCTCCTACACTTTTTTGTTGTCTGTGTGTTTGGTCATTGTTGTTTTTTGTTTGTTTGTTTTAATTGTTTTCATTGTTTTCGCGGTGGTCCAACAAAAGAACGTCGTTTAATCTCCAAAACCTAGTGTAAAATACACTCAATGTTTTCTGTCGTTTTTTTCCGCGATTGTTTTTTTCAACCTTGGGTATATTAGCAATTCGTTGAGCTGTTCTTTGCTGCAAAAAACTATCTGATTCTTTGTTTCTTCTTTTACCATAGATCAACAAGGACATTTCGTGGACCTTGTTGTACACTTGAATAATTGCTTTGATTATGCATTTTTGTACCGAATCTCGTGTTCATAGGTTAAGTCATATCCAGTGCAAGCATTTGAGCGAGCGCTCTTCAAGGGGTACTTCGGTCTCATGCTGGCAGTGCGGCGCCAGCCAGTGGTGGTTCACATTGAGGCTTCGGCTGACACGTTCTTCCAGTATGATGGGGTGAGTCGCTGCAGCACCCAGTGTGGTGCGTGATGTGCTGGGCGAACTCATCCAGTGTGGTGCACTTAGTAGGATGGCACATCCAGTTGTCTTCGTGTGTAGCTGGTAGCATATTGGAAAATCTTGGATTTTAGCTTCATAATTCAACACGGGTGTGTGTTTTGACCTTTCCTCTGTTTCACTACAGACGTTCAAATACGCGGATCCCGCTTGCTACACTGGCAGTCTGAACCATGTCGTGCTGGTCGTTGGCTACTTCATCAATCGAGACGATGGCAGCCAGAACCGGATTTCTCCTCCGTTTTGGATCATCCGCAACTCGTGGGGACTTGGTTGGGGAGACAATGGCCACATGCGCATGGACATCCAGGGAGGGGATGGCGTGTGTGGCATCAACGTGCTTCCTGGCATCTACCCCATTGTCAAAAGTGAGGCATCTACCCCTTCGTGAAGAGTGATGCATCTACCCCATTGTCAAGAGTGATGCATCTACCCCATTGTCAAGAGTGAGGTAGACGTGATGGGGGAGAGGAGGGGGGGGAGGAGGAGAGGGGGGGGGGAGGGGAGAGAGGGGTGGTGGGGGTGTGTGCCACCACAACTCCGTGCATAGGGGTATCTATGCCTGAGCAAAAGTCGAACACGAACGTGGTTGAGAGTCAAACATGCATGTTCGACTCGAACGTGTTCGTGTTCAGTAGTCATAGTCATACCATTTTCCTGCGTGAAGTTTCCGTTGTTTTTGGGTTGCAATATGCGTGGTGGGTTTGGATGCTCGTGGGAAACACAAAATGCATTCACACAAGTGAACCAACCCTACGAGAACGTACGAATGTTTGACTGAAAACATATTTTTTGTCAAACATCTTTGATTTTGGTGCAGCTCAGCAGATTCTGTCGAACCAAACCAAACATGTTCGAGTCAAAGAATCTTGGCCCAAAACAAAAGGCCCTCTTCAGTTCGACTCGTGTTTGTTTGACTTTTTGCTCATGCCTAGAGGTATCTATCTTAGTACAGGATTCTGAACTCCGCAGGAATGGTTGGACAAGTCTTGGAGGGAGTTGGAGCTCTATATGAGGTCCAAAGTTTGTGTTTTTTTGGGTTGAAACGTCTAACCAACCCGTCCCGCACCGAAACGACATGAATAATAAAAAAAACAAAAAAAACAAAAACAAAAATAAGTCGGTTTGTTTTGATGCTTACATGTAAGTTGTCATCTATCCCATTGTCAAGAGGGAGGTTTTCACTCCATTCTCAAGAACAAGCCACCTATCCCATTGTCAAGAGTAAGGAATGGTTAACACTGTCCAGAGTGAGGCATTTATTTTTTACCGCATTCAAGATTCGGGCATGTACCTCACTAATATGATTAAGAGGATGAGGCTTCGAATGCCTTCCATTTGTTCACTCATTGTAAAAGAAAAGCAGAAAGCCTTACTACCGCTTGGCAGTAAGGTGTCATACTCAGTACTGGTTCTGAAAAATAGACCGTAGCATGTGCCGTAGACAGGTCTTGACCGGTGGGCTGTCAACTTGCGATGCCTTCCGGGAGTTGACAAGGTACATGATGGCCTATCCCCGTTGTTGTGCCACCAACCATCTCTGGCAGAATGGTTGCACCAAGCTTGCAGCCTGGTATATGTCCTTTCGTGGATAGGTACTCGTTGGCAATGGAAAGACAATGGTTGCACAGCGGTGCAAAGGAGAGCGGCAAGAAGGAGGGCAGCAGGAGCCAATCCCCCTGATCATATCGTGATAGAGAGAGTTGTAGCGGGCTCAACTCCATCATCCTCCTCAGCGTAGCAGTTGCGAGAGAGCGTGCGGGAGAGCACGGCCAGTTTGGGCCTGGTGCTCCGCGTGAAGTTCCCTCCTGCTTTGTATTACGCCAGCCAGGTGTGAGAGGAGATTGGGCCCAGCCAGGTGTGAGAGGAGATTGGGCCCAGCCAGGTGTGAGAGGAGATTGGGCCCAGCCAGGTGTGAGAGGAGATTGGGCCCAGCCAGGTGTGAGAGGAGATTGGGCCCAGCCAGGTGTGAGAGGAGATTGGGCCCAGCCAGGTGTGAGAGGAGATTGGGCCCAGCCAGGTGTGAGAGGAGATTGGGCCCAGCCAGGTGTGAGAGGAGATTGGGCCCAGCCAGGTGTGAGAGGAGATTGGGCCCAGCCAGGTGTGAGAGGAGATTGGGCCCAGCCAGGTGTGAGAGGAGATTGGGCCCAGCCAGGTGTGAGAGGAGATTGGGCCCAGCCAGGTGTGAGAGGAGATTGGGCCCAGCCAGGTGTGAGAGGAGATTGGGCCCAGCCAGGTGTGAGAGGAGATTGGGCCCAGCCAGGTGTGAGAGGAGATTGGGCCCAGCCAGGTGTGAGAGGAGATTGGGCCCAGCCAGGTGTGAGAGGAGATTGGGCCCAGCCAGGTCCTGGCTCGTTGCGAGTCTCCTCGGGGAAGGCCGATGTCACAGGCTTGCAGGAGCTGGCTGAGGCCCCACTGCGAGCACTTCCAGTGGGAGGAGGTCCAGGACGGTGGTGTGCGAGGATCTGGATTCGTGCTAGGTGCTATCGAAACGATTTTTGAGTCGACTCAAAAATCGACTCACTACACGCGGATTATATGTGGAGAGGTTTTTTGTTGCATGGCAAATTGGTTGTAACCTTAACAGGTTACTGGTACGCGCGCGACTTCCACAGTTGCTGCCTGGCGAAGATGCGAATTCGAACTTCAACGATGACGCTCCAAGGATTGAGGACGTGGCCACCTGAGAAATTTCCAAGGGTGAAATTTTCAAGGGTGACTTCTACTGGTCCCCGGATTTCGGGCTGACCTGGTGTAGATAACCTAGAGGTCAGTTTTTCCGAGGCTTTGTTTCTTCTTGAAGCGTAGCTTAGCTCTGTTTTCTTTGATTATCACTGATGAAGGCCTGCTAGGGTAGCCCCTTAACGGCCGAAACATGTTTGTTTTACTCTACTGCTGAAGTTCTTGAGCTCGGATTGTTGAGATCTTAGTTTTACAGAAGGTTTTTACTGTCTATCTTTTGCTTTAAGCCTGAATAAGTTTGTTGCTCTCTGAGAACATGTCCCAAGACCAGTTGGCACTTACGCTTGACTCAGACGACGCCGAACTTAACGAGGGCAGTTCTGCTATTGTGATCCACGAGGCAGGTGTTCCCAAGACTTACGCGGGGTATCGCACGCACAAGCGACAATGCCTTCGCGAACTTGAAGGAGCAAAACATACTGCACCAACTCGCGGACCGACATCGCACGACGAGCAAACATTTTCTCCTCCCGCCATGGAGATGGATCCCGCTTCGAACGCTGCTCCTACGGTAGCACCTGCTGTTGCTTCCACGAGCGCTAACCCGGCTGTTCCTGAGCAGTTCAACATTCCTGAGCGCTTTAAAGGCTGGACTGCTGTGGCGGTCAAGGGTTTTCGGGCGGATTTCAAATCACTCTTGAAGGCGAAGTCCAAGCTTCAGAAGATGAAGACGCTTGATGAACAGGGTGTGCTTCTTCACAGTATTCGCACCAAAGCAGTTGAGTTCTAGACGAAATACCCTTCTGTTCGGGAAAAGTCTGCAGCTTCGGTTGCTGCTGTTCATCTGGAGAATCAAAAGCGTATCCAGAAGGACTTCATCGCTTCGAAGGAGATGGAGGTCGAGGAGATTTTGGCGGCTTCTAACCTGCACGTGACGACTCTGGCGACAAAGCTTGAGGACTACCTGAAAAGTCTCTCGGAGAACCCTGACCTGGTGGTATCTGATGCTACCAGGGAGAAGTACAGGAAGATTAAGGGGGCTTGCATCAAGAAGGCGCAGTCCGACATAGCCATTGCCAGGGATGAGATCATCATCCAGGAGTTGGAACGGCAGAAAAAACGTGAAGCTGAAGATTTGAAGAAAGCTGCCGCGGCTGAGGAGATCGACAGAATGGAGCTGGATCCGACGGTCGACGCAATCGTTCAGAAGCACGTAAAGAAGGTCGAAGATCGGCTTCGCAAGGAGTTCGCGGCGAAGCTGGACAAAGAGCTATCTGCGAAGCTTCAGAAGATTACGTTGGAAAAGAAGGATTCTCCGTCGACCACCGCTGCTGACTCTAAGCCCCAGAGCAATAAGGCGAAGAAGAAGCGGGGGAAAAAGAAGAAATCTGTCACTCCTACCGACGGCAAAGGGAAGGGCCAAGCAGCACCGAAGCGGGTCTGGGTTCCAAAAAACGGAGGCGGCGGCCCCGCAAAAGGGCCGCCAAAGAAGAAGTAATGGCGCGGGATCTCGCGCTTCGTTGGTTCGGCCGTTTGACTTCACGACAAGCTATGTCGCGGGTCCGAAACAACGGAGTGCATAACCTGAGTGCTAAGGTTTTAACGACCGATGAGCGACGAGCACTCGGGATGGGATTGAAGTTCGTGTCAACGCCTACCAGGAGCCCTTCCATCGAAGCAGATCTCGATCAACTGCATCGACGGATTTCTCTTCACTTTTTCTTCAAGGATAAAGGGGATTCATCTGAGATGTCACGCTTCCATGTGCGCAACCCAGATTGGAAACCCGATCGGGATGTTGTCCCGGAGTCGGTGTTCAGGGAGGCCCACAACGACCTCTTTTACCTTCTGAAAGCGACGACGCCACGGCGGGGTTTCAATATCTCGTCAGGAATTCGCAAGGCGTTGCGCTCCCTCGCCGCCGACCGCAGTATCGTCATCAAACCTGCAGACAAGAACGTTGGCGTCACTATCCTTGATCGGCAACACTACATCGCCCTTTGTATGGAACATCTCGGAGATGCGGAAGTGTACCAGCCGATTGATCACGACCCGACGCCACGTGTTCTGCAGCAGCTGCGGGAGTTGAAGGTGACGTGGGGACCGGCTTTTCCAGGCAGTCTCTGGAAATATTTCTTTAAGGAACCACCTGGGGGATGGCGGCCAGCTGCGTTCTACGTCTTGCCTAAGCTTCACAAGAAAGAACCCGTGGGGCGACCGATCGCTGCCTCACATTCATGGGCTACGACTAATGTGAGCAAGTGGCTTGACGCTGAACTTCGCCCGCTGGTCTTGAATCGTCCTAAATACCTCCGGGATTCTCTCTCTCTGCTGACAACGCTCGAACGCACCACGTTTCCGACGACGGTACTTCTAGCGACGTATGATGTAGCCGCTCTCTACCCCAGCATTTCGATCGAGCGCGGTCTTGATGCGGTCAGCAGTTTTCTGATGAGAGAGAAACCGCAACTCACCCCACCTCTCATGGCCCTTCTGGGTTGGGTCATGAGGAACTCTTTTGTCGAGTTCGGCGGCCGGATCTTTCACCAACTACGAGGCACCGCCATGGGTACACCTGTAGCAGTCTGCTTCGCGATCTTGTTCATGAGCCGCCTGGATGAGTTACTGAAGGGGAAGTGGACCGGAACGTTACCTCCTTACCATGTGCGCTACATCGATGACGGTCTAATCGTATGGCCGGGGACGCGGGCAGATCTGGAAGCCTACCTGCGCACCTTCAATGAGCTTGATCCTAACATTCGGATTACATGGTCTGTTTCGTACTGCTCCATCGATTTTTTGGACGTGGTTCTCTTCAAGGGACCGCGGTTTAAGGAGCAGGGTACTTTGGATTTTGGCACATTTCAGAAGCCGATGAATAAGTATCTCTATCTTCCCTTTGCTTCCTTCCACCCACGGCACTGCAAGGAATCCTTCGTTCGCGCAGAACTGAAGCTGTACCTGCTCCGCTCTACATCAGCTTCGACTTTCCTCGCAACGAAGAAGGCTTTCTTTGGCCGGCTTCGTGACCGTGGTTACCCTCCTACTTTTCTGCACCCAATCTTCCAAGGCGTCACTTTCACTCACCGTTCGTTACTCCTCGCCACTACCATCGCTAACCAGGCGCTCCGGCAACAGATTTCTCTCCCATCCCGTGGACCCCTAGTTTTGAAGACGCAGTACACTTCGGTGTCTGCTCGTCTCGGGCTAGGGGTCCTTTTGAGTCGACTCAAAAATCGACTCACTACACGCGGATTATATGTGGAGAGGTTTTTTGTTGCATGGCAAACTGGTTGTAACCTTAACAGGTTACTGGTACGCGCGCGACTTCCACAGTTGCTGCCTGGCGAAGATGCGAATTCGAACTTCAACGATGACGCTCCAAGGATTGAGGACGTGGCCACCTGAGAAATTTCCAAGGGTGAAATTTTCAAGGGTGACTTCTACTGGTCCCTGGATTTCGGGCTGACCTGGTGTAGATAACCTAGAGATCAGTTTTTCCAAGGCTTCGTTTCTTCTTGAAGCGTAGCTTAGCTCTGTTTTCTTTCATTAGCACTGATGAAGGCCTGCTAGGGTAGCCCCTTAACGGCCGAAACATGTTTGTTTTACTCTACTGCTGAAGTTCTTGAGCTCGGATTGTTGAGATCTTAGTTTTACAGAAGGTTTTTACTGTCTATCTTTTGCTTTAAGCCTGAATAAGTTTGCTGCTCGCTGAGAACATGTCCCAAGACCAGGTGCTATCGAAACAAGCTTCTGACAGACAATGGACCTTCAGGAATCAACGCAACGCTTCTCCATAGGAAAGTATACCGGTTGCAGTTTGGATTTGACATGCTACATTGTTGTCACCAGTGGTACCTGTGGTCTACCTTCGTTTTTTACTTCAGTTCGCAACTGTGTGAGCATGTCATGGGGGCAAATCAAAACACTCAAAAACTGCGCTTAGCTTCTACACACCCTGGTAGCAATGTACGAGTTGCAGAAACACAAACCCGTTGCTTTGGCCTATGGTCAACCAACTCACATGTTCAAGTTTTTGTTTGAATTCTACCCTTTCCCTCACGTTGCAGTTCCAGGGGACCCGTGCAGCAACAACAGCTACAAGGGCGATCAGGATCCTAATGGCATGAATCCTTGCGGTCGGTTCCCATGCGAGAAGATTTCAGAAGGCTACACATGCACCTGCGCTATTCGTGATGCGAGGGTGCAACCCTTTGTGAAGGTTGACAACGGAAATGGCTACGAAACTTGTGCTTATGGTAAGCTAATGCTGTTGGGTACGAGAAGGGCGAAGTGGTTCACTAGCTGTTTTTGCATTATCGCAATGTTGTAAACATGGCTTCTCTCACTCTGTTTACCTAACACTGAGTACAGATAAACACGGTAAGTAGCCAAGGCGAAATGGGCATAGTATCGAACTGAAGTTTGGTTCAGTCGAACCGGTTCTAGTAAACTTGAACCGAACATATTTCTTGGCCAAGACGGAACGATTCAAATCTGCCTTGTTTTGCTCGAACCGCCATTGCGTCGAGCTCTACTCCCTCCATTGATGTAACGTAGTGCGATGGGTCTTTAAGCGCCCTAACCCACACTCCGTTGAACAGGTGTTATCCCACCTGCCCGGAAAAGGGTTTTTCCTGCCCAATTAAGCGTGTTTTCGGGTATTTCCGAAATGGAACACCGGCAAATTGCGTATATACCCTAGCGTATTATACGCTAGCATATACGGGGAACGCGTATCTGCCATCATAGGCCCCTATCAGCTCAGGTCAGGTGGGGTCGGCTCCCCCGAGGTCAGGTCAACCTGACCCGACCCGTACCCGAGCCAGGTAGGCCTGGGTCGGGACAGTTCAGGACGGTTCGACTCGTTGCTCATGTTTAAGAGCAGGTATGGAGGGACGGTGCCGAGCAGCAACCCCGTGGCAATTAAGGTGGGTGGAGAGCTGATGCTGCAAACGGGCCTCTGCTGGGTTGATCTGTTCTTCTGGAGCAAGGAACGCAGGATTGTCCTGTGGCAGCACTTGTTCACACTGCCGCATCAGAGGGCAGGTCCGAGGTGTATGGGCTGGCCAGGATTGGAGCAGTGGTGCGAGGGAGGGGGTCGGAGGGGGCCAATTGAAAGGACTTGAGCAGGTGGGAGGTTTGGGTGACGCTCGCTGCGAAGGTGGGCATGGCCTCAGTAGCCGGTTCAATAAGGCCCATGCACCTGGGTGATGGGGAGACTCGCTTGCCGCCATAGTGTCTCCAGCTCAGCTGCTGCGCGTGGAGGTGGGGTTGCTCCAATTCCGTCAGCCTACAGTAGTGGTGATGGCTGGCCAAAGGTGGCCTCGACGCAGGGGGAAAATCCTTCCTGCATCGTCCGTCTGGGGTTGTTTCAAACTGGCTCTCGCTCTATGGGGCTGAAGGCGTTCGAAATGTTGACCTGAATGAGGGCGTGCTCCGGGTTCACTTAGAGGTGGGCCCGTGCAATGTGTGTAATCACGTCTGCCTGTGCGCAATATTTGTAATTTTCTCATGTGACGTGTTCTCGCGCATTTATTATCCCCGTGTCCCTCGTTGCCCAATCTTCCCTGCTATGTTCACACGGTGCAACATCCATCACCCCAACTCCAATGTGGCAGTGGACGTGTGTGGGTCGTACTTCAAGAACCCCTGCTACGTGGGTACATGCATCAACGATCTCAAGGGCTCCTACTCCTGCATCTGCCCTCTCAACTACATTGAAAGAGTTACACTTTACGGCTTCCCCACATGTGATCCAGGTGCAGTTTTGTTGGACAAGTTTGTGGATCATTTGTTTCCATGTTTTCTTGTTTGTTTGGAATTTCTCGCATTGCTTAGTGACACCATTCATTCTGACCTTCTTTTCTCCTCTCTTTCCTTGCGGATTCCCTTTCATCTCATGATACTCACTATCTACAGCAAATTCCACAGCCACCAGCATGACAGTTAGTGGAGACAACTGGGAGTGTTTTGATGTTACTCTTCTTGTTGGCACCCCACTGAGAGACTTAATTTCTATCAATGCAGTAAGAATTGAGAAACCATCGATGCCATGTCTGTTGGGCACACGTATCTGCATGTTGTTATGTCATTGCGCCACTCTTTATCTTGTGTGTTGATGAGCAAGGAATATGTCCTGCCTCGCGCTCCCCCCATTTCTTTCTGCAAATGCTTCTCAATGCAGGGCATAGATTGCAACCAGCCATTGCCCAAGGGCAGAGTCATTCAGCTGAGTGGTTTTCCTGAAATCCCTTGCACTGCCTTCTTCTCTGCCGTCAAGGTGAGGCGAGGTGGTGCTTTCTTAATTTCCACACCATACGTTAAGCCAGCTATGTACACCCCATTCTATCCAGCACCATGCGCCTCATCACGTGCATTCTCCCTTGCGTTGTCTACTCCCGCAGGGCGACACCTGTTCATCCATCACCTCGCAGCTCGGCTTTCGTGTGGGTGACCTTAGCAAACTCAATCCCGGCCTCTACTGTTCGCCCGCCA